GAACATCAGAGTGCCGATATATTGAAAATAGAAAGAGAGATCCAATAAGAGAATCTACTCAAAATTACAGTTTCAATTTTCAAAATTTAGGAGCGGTTTATGAAATTCTTATTGAAAAACAATTCACATTAAAAATTAACAAACAATACAATATTTGAGGCCATGAGAGCAGAAGTGACCCAACCCAATTTTTTATTTGCACTTACCTACGTAAAATAGTCTCAAATGTGATACATTTTAAAATAAAAGTCGCTTATTTCTTTATTGTCAGCAGTGATGGAAAAGTAGGTACAATTGTACCTTTTCCGACTTTTTCAAACCAAAAGGTACGTTCAATACACTGAGCTCAATTTAGATACAATTAGACGATAGCCAAATAAATGTCCATATTTAAGACTACGTTACTCGCGAAAAAATGTAAAAAAAATTTTGTAAGCAAAGAGAAATCGCAACTCATATATCATTGTGAACATGTCATTGTGGCAACAACAAATCTTTGCAAAGTGGTCAAGTTCCTTTATTAAATTATCTGCGAACAGTGAAAGGTACATTGGGTACACTGAGCTCAATTTAGGTACAATTAGACGATAGCCAAATAAATGTACATATTTAAGACTACGTTGCTCGCGAAAAAATGTAAGAAAATTTTTGTAAGCAGAGAGAAATGGCAACTCATATATCATTGTGAACATGTCATTGTGGCAACAACAAATCTTTGCAAAGTGGTCAAGTTCCTTTATTAAATTCTCTGCGAACAGTGAAAGCTACATTCGGTACACTGAGCTCAATTTAGGTATTAGACGATAGCCAAATAAATGTATATATTTAAGAAAACGTTGCTCGCGAAAAAAAATTCAATACAATTTTTTTAAGCAAGCAGAAATGACAACTTATATATCATTGTGAACATGTCATTGTGGCAACAAGAAATCTTTGCAAAGTAACCAAATTCCTTTATTAAATTCTTTGCGAACAGTGAAAAACTCCTCACCTATTGAGGGATTTCTAGCAAGGTGGATACACTGCATGTGTACACTGCATGTGTGTTACTTCAAAAGTGATACGTGTTTGTGCAAATTTTCGGAAAATACTTTATTTTTTCGCTCATTTCGCGAGATACTTAAAATTTTCACGTAGTACAAATTTTGCTACATGTTAAAGAGATAATATTTATGTATGTATGCAGTGGCAGCTTCTAAAATTTGATCGAAAAAATCTAGACGTTTTGGGGTCAAATAAGGTTAAAGAAAAATGCTTTAAATGAGAAAAAGAATTTCATTACAAGCTGTTGAGAATATGATGTGGCGTATTC